CCATGGCATCGGTACCAGCGACTGTGAGACTGCGTCAGTAATCACGGGGTAGTGGCTGAGCGAGAAAAAAGAAAAGGATTCGCCTTACAGAGTATATCGTCGAGATCGTTCAAGTCAGCCAGAAACTTGAGTCTAATCAACGTCGCAACGCTGGCACTGTGGATGGAGTGAGTGCTGTACGACACATTTCGATGCTGGATTGCTCGGGTGGGCGACTTACAAGATACCCAAACTCAAAAGCAAAATCACAGATATCTTGGCAGGCACGGTCATTTTTACCTTCCAAATCATGGGTATGGGCATGAGGGCACTGTTGAAATGATTAGCGAGGGCCTCGGCGGTTGATGTGCGCGCGTGCGTGCATGGCGGGCTGACTGACTATAGCCAGTCACTCAAAATGGTCATGACGGAGATGGAGTAGGCGGCAGAAACGATGTGGTCGGGCGTCACACAGGTCGCGTCTTGAATGGTGTAGTCCACTGGGCCTGGACGGGGTGGCATTGGAAAATGTTCCAGAAGAATATGACGAGGGTCCAAATCATAACGATGGCCAGGCTGATGTATATCGTCCAGATGTATCCCTTTGAGGTGGTCAGGCGAAGGAGAAAGATGCCAACGCTGAACTTGATGAACATCATGTTCAAGACATACGTGGCGGTAGCGAGGGCTTGATACTTGAAGGCGTGTGCGGTTTAGTCGCTGTGGACAAACGTGAAGCCGTCGGGACATGACAGAACTCACCATCAGGGCCCTGATCTCCCGGGACTGTTCCAGCGCTTTGTTGTGCATGCCAAGGCCATTGTCGACGCCGGCGAGGATGAAGACGCAGGAGGCGGTGAAGATGAGCTGGGCAACCAGCATGAGCCAGTCGTCGGCCTGGTAGGCCTTGGTCAAGATGGCGCGCACATAGGTGCGCAATATGACCGAGACCCAGCTGAGGACGAGGAAGGAGATGGCAGTAGCTACGAGGGCTCCTCCATGATCTTCGGTCAGATCCACCCCGGCCATGGATGGAGGTTGATTCGTTCCAGAGTCTGAAGTCAAGGGCCGGCCTCTCCGGATCTCCAGAGAACAATCCACACGGTCAGGAATAGGTGAAATGGAAAGGAAAGAAGAAAGGAAAAGAAATCCAATGGAAGACGACAACTGAAGGAGAGAGGGACAGACGCAGAGGAAAGCATAGCACAAAGAGCACAGAGCATAGAGCCACGAAGAGATGGCCAAGAAGGGGGGGGGGGGACTTCATCCGCCGCGTCAATACAGCCAACGCCGAACAGCACCTTACACGTGAGCTTGTGCTAGCAGATGGCCAGCCGGGTTCTGCAGCCAACAACGCCGTCGTGTTGTCGTCTCGAGTCCAGTCGAGTCTACGTGCTGTGCATGTTTGCCGACAGCCGGACACACAAGGGATGATGGCTGCGACGGCGGCGCCCCAACTGTGCTGGCCGTTAATGAAGGCTGCAAGGTTCTGCAGGCAAGCTAGCAGAGTGTGATCCCGGCCAGGCACCATCGCTCTCCCTCCCGGCCCCCCCCCATGTGGATGACAGGGTAGTGAATCTGGGCTCGAAGCGCAGGCGAAGACAGGCGAGGCGAGGCGAGACCCGAGGCGTGTGGGAAGAGCCTCTAGCGACGAAAGGACCACGAAT